GTTTTAATCTGCAGTTATTGTATCCTTAATACCAGTAAGTTATGTGAAGCAAACTCTTTGTACATTGGTCACTATTAGGAACCAGAAAATGAAATATTCAATTTGAATAAAGTTGTCATAAAATTGCGAATTCTCGCGAGATTTCCGTTTCAACAGCTGGATGATTTACTAGAATACGAAACCTCGCAGTGAGCCATTAACGTCGACACCCCATTTAGCTCGCCCAGAGCCCAGAGTTTATTATCCCGCTGGCCTAATATATTATTTGTTTTACAAGATAGATCTATAAATTTTGACAAAACAAGTTAAGATTTTGAGTGTTCGCAGACGCTGGTGCTGGGGTATAAAAAAGCCACGTGAGACTTGGCGAGATCTGCCGAGATCTCTTCCAGAAAACTGCGTTCGATTGGCATTTATTGCCAACCCATGTTACGGACTTTCATAATTTACAAAGACTCTCTCTTGAAGCACACGTGGTTCTATTACAATATCATTTACTGAATGATGTATGTTTATATCTTAGCGATTTTTTGTGTGTAGGTTTTTCTAGTATTTGATACTATCTGAAGAATAAATCGTTAACTTGTTGAAAATTAAACCTCCGAAGACGTCTTTTCGGCTTATCGTTATACTTTCATAAACTCTTATAAATATGACGTTTGGCGAAAATGAATGGGTTATGTCTAACAGCTGAAGAATGAGGGAGGAAGCCAGGAATGAAAGTTCGGTATAACGGGCTATACTACTAGTCCCCCGAACAAGAAAGTCATCTAACGATTTCCACGTTGTTTTCATACTTTTATAAATTTCAAATCTGTTGATCTGAGTTGGGATCTCTTATCTGAACTTTTTATCCAGGGGTTTTCAGTTTTTATGAAAACATTGCAACAAGATGCGGCGTCTCTCTACAGATAACAGTTGAGGGCGAGTAAGAGATGTCTAATTTCTCATTCATTTCAAAATAGAAAAAAGCTTAATTTCTCGTAATTAGTTTTAAAAAAATTAACGCTTTTAAAAGATTTTAATGAGGCTATTGCATTTCGCACTACTTGATACAGAGTCTCCTTAATTGATTTACATCACTGCTTTCGATTGACAATCTGTTTTCAAATTCAATTTGAACATTCGCCAGTGCATCAAAATTGTTGAAATTTAATTTCAGCCCGTCAGCTTACCCATTTCAGATGAGAAAAGAAGTGTCGGTTTAATGTTGGTAATTACTTCCCTCCACTAAGATGCCTCGTGTGACGTCACATATTGACAGCTGATAAACTGGTTCTCACCTCCTGTCAACGCGGGGAATGACGTCATCCTTCAACGTCTCTCTCTCTCTCTCTCTCTCTCTCTCGGCGATACGCTAATATCCCCCTAAATATAAATTACTTGACAATGCTTAGGACAAAGTCAGTGCATTAATTATATATTAAAACTGCAGTCTTTACCTGTTGTCTAATTAATTAACCCCTGTTATTTTTTTAACCACTATGTCATCCAACAACCGCCCACAAGGACATTAAAAATTAGGTAATGTCTGTGTTTGTCATGTCCAATGAGTCAGGAGATAACAGGAATGTCTGGCTGTCTCTGTTGGCCTTAAGAGATTGATTATGTGTGTAGTTATTAAATTCAAATTTATTTATCAAGGACTCGTTGTTTTGGATTCTTGGGGGTTTTTCTCTGCATGTGACAATAATTATTCGGAATAAATCGCAACATCTCGGGCTTTTTTTTTCAGACCTTTTACCCGAGATCTTGTTGCATTGTCATCAAACACTTGGGCTATAATTCAAACTCGAATTTTTAACTCTCTATAAATCCTTTCACCTCATAATACATAGTATGAATATAAGGATGTAAACAAATACAATGTACTATGTAAAACGAAATTGAATTACCTGATTGCTATTCAAAATTGCAATTGTTCATACATGAGAGTTTATACAAATAGGCCCGTTTTCCTGATTATGCGGCACCATCCTTTATCTGCTCTGTGTATATCTGTATCTAATCTAATTTGTTTTAACAAGTGGCTATAATCAAACCTGATGATACAAGAGCTAAGGCTTTAAAGTTACGCCGATTACACAATACAAGGGTCTATAATATGTTTTTATTTGAAGCTTGAAGAAGTGTAGCTGTTGCAGCGATAATTTGGCCAAAGAATGTGATGAAAATAAAGGAAGGTGTTGGAATTCTCTCCCTTTTTCATGGAATCTTTTTTTGTCCATCAAACAAATTTCTAAAATCATATAAAGAATCTGCATATTTTAAGCTTCTAAAACTTGAAATCGATCATAAACATGATAAAGAAAGATTTCTTTTTTTTTTTTTTTGGCGAAACCAAGATGTTACATATTTCAAGAGAACTTAAACCGTTGACATGTGAATGTCTGCCAATTTAATACTTATTTTAGTTGTTCACGTGTTATTGGTAAAAAAAATTTGGTGAACAATTACGCTCAATTAACACGATATGTAAAAGCAGTACGGATAGCGGTGTAAACTCTTGTAAACTGCAGTATTATCAATTATCCCATTCCTTCTAATTGTTTCGACAATTAACCACTTACTGTCAGTCGCCTGTAACAATCCCTCCAGGTGTGAGAATGGAAATGGTTAGGTCATTATTACAGGGAAATTAAATATAAAACAAACTTATAAAGAAGGTGACCTTTCGTCCTCTTGGCCCCAGACGAATTTATGATCCCCACCCACCAAGCATAGGTTGGGGTTCCGTGCGATACCGACAAATTTTACGAGTTGGGCTTTTATCGGGTTTTGTGCTATGACCAGTTGAGCCCCGGAGCCTATTGTCCGAGGTTCGAAATGTCAGCACCTGTCGTAATTAGATTATCATCTACTTGTATTGCGCTCTAAATTGCCTTTATCAGTTTCAGGTAAATTGAATTTCTGTCCTCCTTGATCTTAATTGTTGCTTTTAATTTTATTACGAGACGGAAGGGGTCCTTAACATTAAATCAAATGAATGCCTATATCCCTTAATATAACGAGAGAGAGAGATCTTATGATATCAATTCTGATATTTTACTATTGATGAATTACAGATATTAAACTGTTACCCGCCTATCTATCAGACACAGTAACATTCAATTAAAAGATAGAACGCGACATGAAAACTGGCTAATTATTACAGCCAAGAGATTCCTAAACATGTCTCTTTGAAAATCTGCTAAATCGTTTTCATGGCAGAGAAAAAAAATGTGATTTAAGCAAACATTGCAAAAGTTTATTGGTTGATTTAAATTTTAAGGACAAAACGCATTCATTCAACGCAAAGGGGCCTCCTCCCAATTTATGGTTGTCTTTCATTCCAAATTCTTCTCTTTAATAAAAGCAAAACGTCTTTGAAATACGAAAAAAAGCTGAACAAAAATTCAATTTCTGCTAGATTTAACACGAGTGAGATCAAAAGCTTGCGAATAAATCAAGTGACAAGTTTTTGTCAACCTTTGTAGTGAATGAACGAAGCTAAATGCCTGAGAGAGAGAGAGAGAGAGAGAGAGAGAGAGAGAGAGAGTTTATCATGATTTTCTGTTTTCTTACTATACAATCTTTATATATACACACAGACAGTAAAAAAAATTCCCTCAGACAAAAGTTGTCAGATCGGAGAGATTTAAGGGGACCCTAGTCAATGCGGTCACTTGTGCACCTATATATATATTCAGTACTATACATTTTACATAGAGAGAAAGTCTTCGACTGAGCAGATACAAACGATAAAACAACACGTGGGACAGTTTTATTTAAAGACACTAAACAACTTCATCAACATAAATATTTTCCTTCAGTTGTTGAGGAGGCATTGACAGTCTATCATACTTGTTTTTCGTGTGTATATGACCCCCTTTTATATAAATGGTTTAAATCTACGTGTGGTTTCTTGTTTGTACCATACTATTGATATGCCCGATCATTCTCTAGGTGCACGTGTTTGTTCCTTGCTATTCTTCATATGTATGAAATTTCATAAAGGAAATTAAGAAAATAAAAATATTAATAAAACACTGTCTCCCGAGTTACCCTTGTGTCAATCTGAAAACATTTTTTTACTGAAATTTTCATTTGATTTTCTTGACTTATCACTCTACCGTGTCTAGAAATACAGGTTACAAATATTAAATATGTGACACATTCTCATACATTAAATTAGCAGATAGGATTAAAAAGTAGCAATCATTTCCGGGTAAGATAACCTAATATATGTAACATGCCCTCCTTTGAAGAGTTGAATGACTAGATCGATTTTACGTTGATTATATTACAAATATACAAACTAGATCGTGCTCTAAACGTCCGTTCTATAAGCTTTATTCATTATATGTTGTATAGAATATTGTTTACCTTTTTACACTGACTCTTAAAAAAAAAAATAAAGAACGACATGAAAAAGGGTTGCTCTTAAAACAGAATACATTAATCAGAGCGATTCTCAGGATTTTTCTATACAATGTTAGGGAAGAATGCCGAGGAATCCCAATCAGAACCGATGAAGGAAAACATTTGGGAAAGTATCAAGTAATTGTCTGACTTAATCTCGTATTATCTCGTTATACTCTCATTATAATCACGTCGTGGGACCTAGACTTTTTGACATGCTTTTCGAAGATAACGGAAAGAAAGGAGATGCATGTAGGTTGATGTGGGTTAGGAGAGAGGGACTCAGGGGTAAGGAGGGGTACATGTAATTCATGAGCCGAAATAATTTTAATATTTTTCACTGGTAAGTGTTTGGCTAGGCTTATTTTTATTAGATGAGAACTGAACTACCGGTAAAGGATTTCGATGCTTTAAAATATTTGTGAAAAAAAAACTTTCAGCAGTTAAATGTTAAGTGATAGCATACCATTGTCAGCAATTAAAATTATTTGAGGATCTCAGTCTAACTTCTTATGCATTTAGCGCGCGAGAAATATAAGGTCAAAAATATCTTCGTGCTTTTTAACTTAAAAGTAAAAGAGAAAGTAAAATATACTTACAGCCATCGGATTGCTGCAATCCTGGAAGAAATTAATAGAATCACGAAGAGTGACGACGCCACAGTTTGTCTGTAATGTCTCATGCTTATTACACTTCGATAATAAATTCCAAATCGTATCTCATGAAATCATTGAACACTTTTGTCTCATACTGTAGACGACCGTCACATCTCTATGTCGGGGGGTCTCTAAGTTGTGTGATTCCAGTCCTTTACTCCATAGTCCGACTTCTAAGAATGTGGTACCAAGGACTGAAGTATTCCATAATATATACACACACGCACAAAATAAAAAAAATCTCTCGTGAAAGACAAAAGAATTTAATATTTTTTTTCCCACTTCTTTAACTTTGGATGCACATTCACAAACTGAAAAAATAAGAAGAAAACTCTTGCAGAAAAACCCAGAATTTTTTCATCGTCCAATGACTCCGCCGCGCCGCTGCGCATCAGTTTTACCCCGGTCTGGGTCGTAAAACCGACGAGTTATTTACGACACTCCGATCGTCCAGCCCACTTTTTTCCGATGAAGAATTCATAAACTGCAAATCACATTTCACCACTGCTTTTACATCCTAAGGGACATTAATCGAATACTGTTATTTTTCCACCATTATTTTATCCGGGCTGTTAAAGTCTCGTGTCAACTTACTTTTCGTTATTACCCGTCCGTCTTTGAATTCTCTTTTTTATCCTCAATGGGTTTTTGATCTGCCGCTATGCGTGTTTGAGAAGGAAACCCGGCTCGATAGGCTAGATAAATGCAATATTTCTCTTCTCTTTCCTCCAGTGAAATTTATTACATATCGAATTCAGACTTGAGATTCGCTAAAATAAGAATGGAAAGAATTATTTTTAAAAGTAGGAAGTTCCCTTTGATGAGAGTCCCGCTCCCTCGTAATAGGTGTTCCAAGTCGGCGGGGACTTTTAATATACATCTGGCCTCCATATCAGTATTTAACCCTATACATAAATCAAACACCTATGTACATTGAGACCAGGTAAAGAAAGGAATTCTCTTTCTCTTCTAATTATGAATTCTAGTCTTGTATTCAAATGAAGTTGTAAGAAAAAAAAAATACGTTACAAATTTTACGATCTTTTGTATCAGCTTTCAAGTGGGAACCGTGTACAGTAAATATTTAACTGTCACCTCACTAGAAGTGATGATTAGAAAGGGGGGATTAGATTTCAAGTGTCTAAAAGTACGTCTGCGAATGGCGGGATGAGAAAACACTCCGTTATCGAAACGCACGGCAAAGTAATTAAACTACAAATATCCATATAAGTTTTAAAATTCTTTTATAAGTTGGAACAAAATGAATATCAAGATTTAAATAAAAAAAAAATAACACTCCCCCAACACAAAAATTACAAAAATAACAAATAATACATATTTTCATGAATGCATTATTTGATACATTGTGACACATAGTGAAATTATTATTTACTAGTACATGTACTTGAGATATGTTCTTTAATCTTATACAGTGGACCTTCAGATATCCGGACCCCAGATATCTGGATGCTTCAGTATCCGGACGACTTTTCATTGGAACGGAATTTGTAAATGTAATTTTGTCTTGTTTAACTGCTGATTCAGGTATCCGGATGCTATCCGGACAAATTGCCTGGGAACCAAAGCGTCCGGATAAATGAGGCTTCACTGTATATCTTCTAATTTTTGAAATTGTTGAACAGGGAAGGGGAAAAAAGTATAATTTTCATATTTTCCAACAAACTAGTATATTTTAAAAGTTGTCATAAGCTGCAACATTTCTTTAGAAAGTACATGTACATACAGGAAAAATATTTATACACCTGCTAGTACGTGTTTGACTGTTTTATTAATTAATTTTAGAACTATGTGCATGTAGTGAAATGAACAATACGGCAATAATTTCTTATGGCTACGTTTTATTTGTTGTTTGTTTTCATAGTTAAATAATAAATTAAAATCTTAAGAAGAAAAAGTAAATTAATATTTTGTTTGTTTTGATTTCTTTTCTTTAATTTTTTTTTTTTTAGATTAGGGATTGATATTTTAATTTGTACTTAAATTTCTCGACTAGTTTAGTTCTTTTTTCCCAGAGTATTAATACTGTGAAAAAATACAGTATGTTTAAATTAATGAATACCGGTATACCCCAAGCCAGAACACAGTTCATCTCTGCATATCATTTTCGCGATTAACGATTTGAACATCACTCGGCAGTTTCCGTTGAAAGTCACCGAAAAGAGCCGATTGATGTTCGGAAGTTTTTTTTCGAAGTCATCGAGGAATCTATTACTAATGACTTTTAGGACAACATATTATCAATGTATACGTGAAGACAAAAATAATACTTCCAATCTGTTAGAATATTTTGTCCCATTGGGTTTTTTTCTCCCACAAAATTGATCAAATGGGATAAATCCCATAAATATTCATCTTCGCTAGCCAAGGGTTTCTGATACGCTTCTCTCCTCATGATTATGAAGAGAGTAGCGTATCAGAAACCCTTGGCTAGCGAAGATGATAAATATTATGAATGATACACATTGTATATGTAAAACATGAGATTTTTTTCTCTTGCATAATTCAAAATTCATAGATCGATTATTTAATTTTGAAGGATAAAAAAAAAAAAAAAAAAAAACAATAAACAAAAAAAAAAAACGCAAAACAGCAAGACAAAACTTCAAACAAGTCGTCCTTTACTTTTAATATTAATTTTTTAGGAGAAAATTCCATGGACAATGTTAACGTTAATTATGAAAGTGAAGAAAAAATTCATTTGACTTTTTAATAATAATTCAAATAGAGCTCCTTTTCAATTATTTAAAGAACCCATCTTATCTTGAACGATAATAAAGATTTCTCCAGTATTTTAATACATTTTTTTCTGACCATAAATGTCTCCCCAGACATACCGATAGAGAGTGATTAACGATGTTCAATTATTTAAAAAATGACATCTCTATTTTACTCGTATTATTCATCGTCACGGAAAATAAATGACAATGCATGAATCGTAAAATACAATCAACCCCTCAAAAGAAAAGAAACACATTAATGTCAGAAATCGACAGGGTAACCTTATATAATGCTTGACGCTTTTACATGGTAGAACAGGGCGAAAAAATTAAGGAAATTCGGGAAATTTGAATATGGAGCATGCGCTTTACAGGTATGAATTTTTCTTGGTATGAGAATAAACAAATCTGTTGTGTAACATAATTTACAGGGATATGATAAGAGAAAGCTGGACAGAATAACTAGACAATACTGAGTTTGAGTAAGTTAAAATATTAAGATTGTCATAAACTCTCACAGATCTTAATAAAAAATATTAAGAACGAAAGAACATTTTCAAAAACAATGCTCTGCATGTCCCTGTTTGCATCTAAGGTAAAACCGAAAAAAAAATTTCACAGAAATAGTGTATTTTCACTATATAATCGATATAGCCCACCCTAGCACTAGAACCCCTGACCCTGGAACAATGAATTTCACAATTTTGGTAGAGGACTCAATGTTGATTAGAATCATTGAAACCGTTGATGTCCAGGAGTGAAGAAGAAGATTTTGAAAAAAAATGCATTAATTTTAGTGATTTGGCCCAACCTTTCAGTACCCTCCGGGAGGGGGGCATGAAAACCACAATTTTGGTTCCCCTGCACCCATAGATGCCAAAATTGGTTGACATTGGTTCAGCGGTTGAAGAGAAGAGGTTGAAAATGTTCAAATGTTAAACGAAAACGGATTGCAATAGGTCACCTGAGTATACTCAGGTGACCTCCAAATCTACATTTAATTTTTTTGGTATCTTTTTTTAATGTACTCGATTTAATTTGTCCTTCATTTTATGGTTTTCTGATCTCTTTTTGTTGTTGTTGTTGTTGTTGTTGAGGAAATCTAGAATACGAAATCCAGCCCCAATATTTGACCAACTTTTGCTTGTTTAGATCTCTACACACACACACACACAAAAAAAAAAAAAAAAAAAAAAAAAAAAAAAAAAAAAAAAAAAAAAAAAAAAAAAAAAACCCACCACGAAGCTTAACCTTGGGGTAATTAATTAAGTTCAAGAGCGAGCTTGAGTACGAAATTCTTTTCAGCCCATATAAAAACTGTGCAATTTGTGTAATTTATATCACATCGGATAGGAATGCACCATTCAGATATTTACTTCTATAATTACCATGAAATATTTCACAGAAAAATGAAAACCATCGAACAGAATCAAATAAATTTCTCACATAAAGAAACCGAATATATTACTGTCCAATTTTTTACCAACACGGAGGTTTTTAATCTCATAAACTACGACGCTGTTTTATAACAGAATTTCTCAAGGACGACATGAGGTAAAGATCGAAAAGGAGTCCGTACGACTTAATTTTTAAATTGGATCAAAGAAAATAAATTAAAATCGTTTAAATCAACACTGATGTAGTTAGCAAGATTTCCTTCCCCGAGGTCAGGACTACATGTTTTTTCCGAAGCGAATCCGAGGAAAAAGTCTTGGTGAAGGGAAGCTGAAATCTTGCTTAAACTACATCAATAATGTTCTATTTTATTACATCAACAAATATTTAATCGGGAATTAGCTTTCGAAGCAAGGGACTATCCAACTTGACTAACGCGCGGTAAATGGGAATTAGTCCATTGCTAACGATTTACAGGGATTCAATCACATCTAACACCATGCATTTAATTTTAAGTAGTAGGAAAAAATCGGTAGATTTTATTTAAAAAATTTAAAGACGTGTAAAAAAAAAAATAAAAGGGGGGAGGAGGCACCAATTACATGTAACATGCCTGGAAGAGGACCGATAGCCTCTCTTATCCAGCTGATCCAGTTTCCTTGTGTTCAAGTCATAGCCCTGACCTTTAAATTGAATGTTCTTGAAATAGTCCAAAATGACATTCAAAGTCACAAAACATAATGAAGAATCTATACGACTCGAATATGTTTGAAATATGGATTCTGGGTGTCATGGGTAATACTAAGAGAAAAAAGTGGAAGCTCGTTGAAATTGTGTTCCTTACGTGAAAAAAAGTTTTATTTGAAATATAATTTTTTAAAAATAATTTGATCCCAGGCAAAATGACTAACTAAAATTTTTGAGGACAACATTATATTTTTACCACTGTTCAATATGGCTCAGCCTTTCTAGATTGGTCACACAGCGCGACGTTTAATGTACTCACAGAATGAAAAACTTCAAACAGCGCGACGCCATAATTAAAAGTCGTAAATTATACAGGACTATATTCATAGTCATCATTTTTATAAAATAAATTGAGTGATGAAAAGTACACCAGTCACACTGGAGGAAAAACAGAGATAGAAAAGCGGAGATGAAAGATTAATAGTTATACAAATTTATTTTAAAAAGAAATAACATAGGGAAATCAGTTCACGATTTTATAAATTGACCGACTATTTGGATTTTTTCTGTTGAACGAAAAGTTTATTTTATAAAAATGATGACCGTGTTATATCAAAATGAGTCTACATGTATTTAGTTTGATTTGAGTGATGAAAAGTACACCAGTCTGCTTGTACCATATTTATACTTATATGACCGAGGTAGATTCTTGAAGATAAACGGGATAAATGCTTCTATTGCATGTATACCGGATTAAATACTTCTCTAGAGTAAGACTTCTAGGAAAATGTGCTCACTTTTGCTCAAGGGTCACATGACGGAAAAATTCTCCACATCATTTTGCTTTCAACGGAAGGAGAGACAGAAATACACATAAATTAAATACATTGTCTCTCTAACTCACTTCTCAATGAAAGAATTCATTTTCCTATATAGCACAAGGATCTAACCATGTCATAATTGATAGTAAGAGCATTGCAACTTAACCCATATTTATT